ACTGTGCTCAGTCTTTGGTTTCCAAGTTCAAAGGAGGAATCTGCTTCAAAGCTTGAAGCAGAGCCGAGGAGTCGATGGGGGAATGGGCCGGTACAGGAGAAGGGAGTCTCTGGGGCATCAGCAGAGGGGGGGAGATTTTGTCGGGGTTCATGAAGCCCGTCAGAGCTGCGGCAGAGGCCGGCAGGCTGGGGTACAGCACGGGAACCGAGGCCGGGTACCAGCACTTCTCCAGCATGGGCAGGTAGGCGGTGGCGGACGGCGGGATCAGGTAGAAAGGCAGGCACAGGGGAGGCTGGTGAGCGTGGGGGCCCAGGAAGCCGCTGGCAGGGCCCATCATGTCACTGCCAAAAGGGCCCTCGTCCTGCGGCGACTCCAGCCTGCTCCTTTTGGCCGGCGGGTCCTCAGTCTCTTGCTTAATAGAGCTTATTCTCTCCTGGACAGCGTACTTGAGGTCGGTATCCTTTTTGAAATAGGGCTGTTCCGATTTGGAGTCGCTTTTGTCCAGCTCTCCCCCGTACCCGCTGTCCGTGTCCGTGTCGCTGCCGCTCTGCTCCCCGCTGGAGTGAGCGAATGTCCGCTGGATCACGGGCACGCAGTTCTTCCCGTGGCCCTCGCCCGCCGCGCCCAGCGGCGCCGGCTTCTCCTTCAGGTCCAGCATTTTGGGAGGGATGTCCCCGGGCTTGCGGGCCGCCCCGCCCTGCAGCACCTCGCTGGCCATCCGGTGCAAGTGGCTGACCAGCTGCGACGACTTCAGCTCCTTGCCATTCTCGTGCTTTGCCAGGTATTGCAGCATTTCCTTGGCACACATCTGGAAACCGGATCGAAACATTTCCTGGCTGGAATCGAGGTTTCTCGATGACAGGTCACCTAAGGAAACATTAACAGAAAGAAATTAAAAATTAACAACATGCTAAATAGTTCCATTTCCAGCTCCGAGGCGGGCCGGAGGCAATGTTGGACTTGGGTTACAGCACAGCTAGAGGGGAACACGATGGCCAAGCTGAACTCTATGAATAGAAATCCCCAGATTTCTGCAGAAAAGGACAATTTCACTGGAATATCCACCTGTCCACTTTTACGTAATAAGTAAAAGTGCTGCCTGCTTGTTTTTGCTATTTACTGTAAAATCCACTTTCAGCAGGTACTGGAGTGCGGAGAGGGGAGTGAGTCAAGCTGTGGCTTCTCCAGGAAAGCCCCGGGGAAGGCAGGGCGCACCTCGGGGCAGGGAGCTCCAGCCCTGCCGGCAGCTCCGCCAGCCCCAGGGGACGCGGCTGCTCCCGCAGCTCCACTGCACTCCCTGTGGCTGCCGGGGCACGGACCGTGCCTCCAAAAAATTCGGGTTTGCTGTATCCGATTCACGTGAGAGCCACATGTGAAATCAGCAGGAGGAAGTGCATCTGAGGCTGATAAGCTGAAGCACCAGGTCCCCTCTGCCTGCAGAGCACAGGCCAGCTCGGTTATAAAGAAACTTAAAAAGGTGTGTATAGAAAGCAGATTTATATCTGTTTCCAGAGAAAACAGCCAAATAAACCAGACTGGGTTATCTAAAGCTCACAAACACAAATGGGGAGAACTAAATGGCTTTAGAGAGAACCACACAGCAAACCTGGGCTGTAACTAAAACTACTTCAAACCCAGTTTAATTTCAAACAGCTCCCAGGGCACTCTGCACTGACCATCTTGAGCAACGCATCTTTTTTGTGAAAGCTCACAAGCAAAGCCTGAGAAAATGACAGCATGAAAGGCCAGGATTCCTGCCTCCTCCCTTCTCGGGAACAAGGTGTCACAACCGCATTTCACAGGCTCCCCAGGGAAAGCCCATCACACACACA